CAGAGCATAAAGTACCCTTCAGAATCACTTGTGAAATAACGAGAGGTCGAGAGACCGAAACTTAAAAGAGGACGGCAAATGCACTATTGTAACGAACCGTTGGAGTCGTATAATTTTACTAAGATCCGTCAAATATTTATCTCAAAGATGTCAACAATCAGCGATTTAACCAATCATATCATGATACCAGGAGCTGGTATCACAGAACAGTGGTATCAATAGAATGTCTACAGGCTCCCTCGTTTCGTTTGGGCTCACCGGGAGCCTGTTCGCAGGCTAGATTTATTACGGCAAAACAATCCAACGGGAAGACAGAGAATACGCAGTTACTTGGGTCCAACAGAATAGAGTTTAATCCAACAACGCACTCAGAACATAACCAATACGGGATCACGGTGGTATCCGGCGTCTCACCACCGGGGGCGTAACCCATGAACAATTTACAAAACACCTGTATTTATGCTAGTCTCCAAACAAAATAATGATCTAATGTTTCCTTTAGAAATTCTAAACCCCTATTGGCTGCCAATGAGCTCATTGTTGTTCTAGGCTATTCCATCATAGGCAGTCAGTTATTCTGCTCGTAAATATTAACTACTTATAACTTCAGGTAGTTCTCACTGCAAGGTGTTACACGATTATACAGATAGACAGGTGGTTACCATGGTTATTGGACTTTCACTTAACTGCTAACTGTTGGCTTTTTTTATGGCTATGAATATCGGCAAATTCTCCCCTCACTTTTGGATCCTTGATGACTGCGTAAACAATATGTGACGGATGGAAATAAGAAGTGTAGCCCGAGTGTAGTGATTCCTGCAGGTCTTATACATCATTCGCTAGGTTGTTAGAAAACAGACTGGAGAGATCCAATACGACATCCTATGCTTTGCAAGTATATTGCCGATTTCTGTTTCTTGCAGTCGATTAACGATGTGGCCATGCTTTCGCTGGCAGGGAGCCTCCGGGAGGACTCTCGTACAAACGTACTCTCCAGAAATTTACAACATAATCGATTTTTTTTTACACTTAGCAAGTTAGGGAATCAGACAAAGAGAACTTATTAGATGTCACCCGAGCAATTACATTTCTAGTGAAAGCATTCTCTATTCAGTTCGAAGTGTGATATGCATGAATTGTTCGTCACTGGTGTCCTAATCTCTAGTAGTAGCAGTGATGAGTGATCACACATTTAATCCCCTTTCCTGAAACTTTTAGGGCCAGAAATCCACTCTTTCCCCTCTACTTCACAATGAGAAGATGAGCCTCGGCCCCTAAATTTACCAAACACAGTGAGAGCTGGGCACGAGATCACTCCTCCCCACTCCTCTCCCCACCCTATTTGTGAACTTCGTATTGTATCTCGCCCCAGGTATCACCTGGTATCCACGTAGGGGCCAAACCACCCCCCAATTGTTTCATCAGTTCTTGGGTATTTCACATTATTTCGCATTACTTAAAAAGTATTGACTCTTTCTACACCTATTGCCAATTATATTTACGTGAAAAATGTCAGTAAATGTCAAAGTTGTGACGTCACAGTGATGA